GGCACACAATGTTAATATACTTCTATAGAACCATATGCAGATTTCAACTTGTGTTTATAGTTTTCATTTATATATTTAACTGTATTACATGTGTTTTAGAAAGACGTATAGTGTTTTTATAGGCACACAATGTTAATATACTTCTATAGAACCATATGCAGATTTCAACTTGTCTCAACTTATGTTTATAGTTTTCATTTATATATTTAACTATATTACATTGGTTTTACAAAAGAGTATGGTGTTACTAGGTGGATTGTGTTACTAAAGTTAGTACTGCTAGGGCAGATGACGTTTCTATAAACAGAGAGTTCAACAGGATGATGATCTCATTGTAGGGTATATCAACGTGTCTCAACATGTGATAACATCATCAATTTTGTAATCTAGATTTAATTATATGTCCTAAGAAGTTACAAGTAAAGCCATTATTTTAACGAGACAACTATGTCAATTTTTATCGCACATACTACATCAGTTTATCCATTATCTGAGGGAGGCAAATATTATAGTATAGCCAGTTATCCATCACTTTATGTATAAAACACTTTGCTAATTCATTGCTTCTATAGTTTTCATTTTTATACTTAAGTTGCATGATATAATTTTTGCATTTTCTAACATTTTATATGTGAAACATTTATTGCTAATTCATTTTTATAATTAATATATTGTATAATGTCTATTTGCCCTGAAAAGGATGCTTATTTAGTTGACAGCACATAGGTTCGATAAGTAATATTCTTACCATATGAGGGGACTGGTTGTTTGGTCACATGACGACCTCTTCTACATTTTGTATTTTCTAACTATCAAAGTTTATCGAGCCTGTTAGCAGTCTTGAAGTTTGAAAACCTAGATACAGTGATTGAGGTTTTAGTCTTATGCGAATATGCCACCAATAGGATTGAAAAAAGTGATCTATCTGTATTAAACGTTCATTTTTCAAAATGGTAAGAATATTACTTATCAAGCCTATATGCAGTCAACAAGAAATAAGCTATAGACAAAGATTTGTGAAAATATCTATAGAAGGTTAAGAATAGTAATGGTTAAATGTAACTATTTATGTAGATCCTTTACATTTATGGGTACAAATCAACTTAGAAAGCTAAACATGAAATAGTTGTATATTATTTAGAGATTTAAATAAGCATCGTTACACAACATATTAATTATAGAAATGAGTTAGCAATAGGTGTTTTACATGTAAAACGTCAGAAAATTCAAAAATTATGTCATGCAATTTAAATATAGAAGTTAAAACTATAGAAGTAATGAATTAGCGAAGTGTTTTATACACAAAGGACAGATAATTGTAAAAGTATGTAAGATAAATTATTAGCTATGCTGTAATATTTGCTTCTCTCAAGTAATGGATAAATTAAGATAGCATGTGTGATGAAACTGAGATAGTTGTCTCGTTAAATAATAGTTTTTCTTATCACTTTTCAGGGCATATAATTAAATCCAGACTAAAATGCTGATGATATAATCACGTGTTAATACACCTTAAGACACCTTATGATGAGACCATCATCCTGTTGTTTATAAACTATTTGCTTATAGAGCAACATCTCCCTAGCAGAACTAACCTTAGTAACACAACTTGCCATCCAGTTAATTGTACTAAACGTGTTTTATAAAGGCAGACTGTGTTTCTACAGTCGGACAGTGTTACTACACTTCCGTGGGATTGCATACAGATTTGACCTTGTCTCAACATAAGTTTATAGCTTTCATTTATATATGTAACTGTATTACATATGTTTTACAAAAGTATATAAATGAAAACATAAGTTGAAACAAATTAGATCTGTATGCAATCCTATGGAAGTATAGTAACACTGTCTGCCTTTGTAAAACACACACAATACAACTAGTAAGACCATCCGCCTATGAAACCTTAATAGGCCATCCACCTATACAAACACAACCCTTAGTAACACCATCTACCTATAGTATCAGACCCTCTGGTATTCAACTATAACATCACCCCTCCCTTAAGAAAGTCGCTCTCGCTGGTGCCACTTCGTAAAACTATGATTCTAGCAACGTGCCCTCTAGTGGCAATTGGTGGAACTATAATGTTATCCCTCTCGTAAGACATTCGTACCCACTGGTGGCCTATTACGTAATAGTTATGCAATCATCAAGTGTTGGCATAATTAGTATATTATGTAATCCTTAGGCGGCGGCATCCTTTTGCAGCTGAACAATAGCCCTAACTACCTAAGTTGATTTCCACGATATATGGTATACACTATTGTATGTCAACTTGAACTTAATTCAAAGATATCTGTATAATGAAGTGCAATCGAATCCATCGTATAGAGGTGTCACATGATTAATAATTAAATCATAAAGTTACTTATTAGGAGAAAATTTTGGAGCTACCACTGACTTAGATTAATTGTTTTTTATTTTGTTTTTCAGCTACTTTACAACGAATGGGCGCAATGGAAGTGTTGGTACAAAACGCAACCTCTACCCCTTATCAGGTATATTTTAGTTTTTAATTAAGATATTAAAATAGAACTCTTTATATAATTAAATGATTGCTTAAATCTGCTTCGTCTGTCTTTTTGTTTTAATGAAGCAAAACTATTGGAGGAGGAAACGTCTTTAAAAATGTTAATTAACTTGTTCTTATATAGGAGGTATTTTGGAGAGAAAACTGCATTATATTTTGTCTGGATTGGATTCTATACAACTGTGCTGATTCCTGCAGCTGCGTTGGGTGTGTTGACGATGATTTATGGCCTCGCAACCATGAAAACATCAACACCAAGGTAACGAACCTCTTAGAATGAACTTAAAAAGTGTTGATATTAATATCTACTGTAAGTTACTGTCATGCGACAGAACCAACATGTTAATCAATAGAATTAGTGTGTGTACATGTAATACATTATCGTAGATATTCATACAGGCCTTCAGTTGTAATATGTAAAAAAATAATTTATAGTTGTACATGTCTGGTAATTTCATGATACATATCACGCCATTAAGCAAATTAAGTCGTGAACACGTTTCTTTCCAAGAGATGCTATGATATTAAATGGAAGTTTCTGGTGATTCACAATAAAAAGAGGTAAAGGTGTTTCTTACTGGCCTTTGTCTAGACACTGTTGGGTTTAAGATTTCTAAAGTTTCACTGAATGTAAATTTACCATAAAAAGATTTTTGACAGAGACATTATGGTTTACTGCAAAAGGAATTATTAAGCTTTAGATAGCTATCACAAAGTATGCTCATGCCTCATATAAAAAATGACATATTTCTGCAAATTAAAAGGAGTTTGATAATTGTACATTTCATTACAGCCTTTAGGTCTGGCATTATACTTATCAAAGTGTTTTAAACCACATTTGTATTTAGAAAAGTTCATAAAAGTGAATTTGTTCTGTCGAGTATATTTCCTCCTCCACCTCAAATCATAAACGATTTATGAATCCTAAAAATAACAATGAAAAGGCTTATATAATGAAAATGAAAGAATGATGAGATGTAAAAAGAAGACAAATTATTTACACCAAACGCCCAATAAAACTGTCATTAATCAAGTTACCCGCGTTACTTATTTCCAAAAAGACTTAGTAATCATGTGATTGTTCAGTAAACACACGGAACATTATTACTATAATATTGTATTGTTCTACATTGAGTATTTAAAGTCTACAACATGAAGTTTAGTAATTTCATTAGATTCTTTCAAATGAAATAATGACCTTTCTAAAGTTTTATTTACTGGATTAAATCATTGACACCTAAAGTGTTCAGCGCTAATGAAAGACAAATGACGCTGAATTTTGAATAATAATTGCTTCAAATAAAGCAAATAAAGAAGTCTGTGGGTATCTGCTTTTGATATTCCGATAAATATATACAGATTTTTTACAAATGGCAAACATATTATGCACCTTCTTAAATATATTTTCAACACAAATCAACCTAACAGATGGCGCTACATATCGATAGATAGACACGCGACAGTTTCTGAAGGTAAAGTATATACTTTATACAGGTATAACATAAAAAGTAAACAAACAAGAGTATTAAAAATTATGAATTTTTAAATGAAATAAGGATCTTGCTACAAAAAGTAATTAAACAAATATTAAAACCACACTCACAAATTTATAAAATTTAATCCCTACTTTGACAGCTTTATACACTTATCTGTAAGCCAAAGAAAAGATTAAATTTTATAAATTTGTGATTGTGGTTTTAATTATTGTAAAAGTTATAGCTATCAGGGATATGGCTATACTGAAAGGTTATAGATGTTATGTCCATTCCATGGACATATAAAACTGAACAATTAAACAGGAGAAGCTTACGGAAAGTATCGTTGGTTATTTGTAGAATTGCTATAAGAAGTAACCAAAACAAAATAGATGTTGCAAAGAAAGTACACAAAGAAGTAAAGTGATACTAGTTGGATAGATTTTAAAAGGATTTTTAATCCCTACTTTAGTTGGCATTCCGATCCATATAGCTAAATGAAGCAGTCTAAATTTGTGTTTACCTAGACTGATATAAAACACTAAGCGAAAAATGTTTCTTGACTGCTATTGTTCTGGGTTGGTCTAAAATTCTTAAGCGAATTTTGTTTTATTTCTATAAAGACTTAAAATTGTTGAACAATGACTAAAATTAAATTGAATCTGTTTGGAAAAAAATAATTTTTTACGTTAGGTAAAACAATACATTTTAAAAATCATAAATTTAAATATAACGTATATATTTTACGTTGGCAAAACTTTTTCAGGGTTTAAATTATAAGTGTTAACTAGCACTATTAGTTAAAGCTGCTGTTTAATTACTTTACGCTAGGGCCTGGCATGGCCAGGTTGATAAGGCGCTCGACTCGCAATCTGAGGGTCGTGGATTCGAATCCCCGTCTCACCAAACACGCTCGCCCTTT